GCGGGCGTATCTGTCAAATGTACGGTTAAAGGGTTATTTCACATTTTTTGCCGATCCGCACACATTGGAATTTCGCTAACTCCTCCGAAGGCTTTCTTTCCACCGGCACCACATTTGCTCAGGCCAATCTACACCCCATGGCCATTAAAAGTTATTCAAATCATGACGCTGCACCCCACGGTTTAGGTTCTAGGGGGCGCCAAAGATAACCCTAAAATCCACATATTTAAAAGTCTTATAACTTTTTATTTTTGCCCTCACTGGCCTCCAAGTTTTCTAGGATGATGCAATGTCCAGCCATCAACACATTTGTGAAGGAATTTTTACTCCCCAAAAGAGCGCCCCCCATGGCAGGAGAAAAAAGTCCATTTTTTCTTGTCCCCTGAGGTGAAAATACACATTGTTGAGTGTCACGCCTGTACGCTTTGTCAAAATGACACAAAAATTGACACACACATGTATCTCAATAAGATCTACAAAAAAGTCCATGCGCGCGTATCTGTCAAATGTACGGTTAAAGGGTTATTCCGCATTTTTTGCCGATTTGCACACATTGGAATTTCGCTAACTCCTCCGAAGGCTTTCGTTCCACCGGCACCACATTTGCTCAGGCCAATCTACACCCCATGGCCATTAAAAGTTATTCAAATCATGACGCTGCACCCCACGGTTTAGGTTCTAGGGGGCGCCAAAGATAACCCTAAAATCCACATATTTAAAAGTCTTATAACTTTTTATTTTTGCCCTCACTGGCCTCCAAGTTTTCTAGGATGATGCAATGTCCAGCCATCAACACATTTGTGAAGGAATTTTTACTCCCCAAAAGAGCGCCCCCCCATGGCAGGAGAAAAAAGTCCATTTTTTCTTGTCCCCTGAGGTGAAAATACACATTGTTGAGTGTCACGCCTGTACGCTTTGTCAAAATGACACAAAAATTGACACACACATGTATCTCAATAAGATCTACAAAAAAGTCCATGCGCGCGTATCTGTCAAATGTACGGTTAAAGGGTTATTCCGCATTTTTTGCCGATTTGCACACATTGGAATTTCGCTAACTCCTCCGAAGGCTTTCGTTCCACCGGCACCACATTTGCTCAGGCCAATCTACACCCCATGGCCATTAAAAGTTATTCAAATCATGACGCTGCACCCCACGGTTTACGTTCTAGGGGGCGCCAAAGATAACCCAAAAATCCACATTTTTAAAAGTCTTATAACTTTTTATTTTTGTCCTCACTGGCCTCCAAGTTTTCTAGGATGATGCAATGTCCAGCCATCAACACATTTGTGAAGGAATTTTTACTCCCTAAAAGAGCGCCCCCCCATGGCAGGAGAAAAAAGTCCATTTTTTCTTGTCCCCTAAGGTGAAAATACACATTGTTGACTGTCACGCCTGTACGCTTTGGCAAAATGACACAAAAATTGACAATCATGTGTATCTCAATTAGATCTACGAAAAAGTCAAAGAGCGCGTATCTGTATAATGTACGGTAAAAGGGCTATTTTGCATTTTTTGCCGATTCGCACACATTGGAATTTCGCTAACTCCTCCTAAGGCTTTCGTCCCACTGACACCAAATTTGCTCAGGCCAATCTACACTCCATGGCCATTCAAAGTTGTAAAAATCATGACGCTGCACCCCACGGTTTACGTTTTAGGGGGCGCCAAAGATGACCCAAATATACATTACAGTAGACAAAGTAGTTTTGCCCACTGAGTGGCGCCAAAGGGACTTGTCTGTGGAGTCTGGGAGTCACTATTGGCCGTTTTTGACTACTTTAGATTTTACCTTTATATTTCCTCTTACAAAATTTTTACCTTGCCTTGCCTGGTATCATTCTTTTCAGCACAACCTCACCTGTGTCAATTTACAGTTATTTTATCATTTTGACATACTATATTTACACATTGGACCCAAATTCACACACAAAACATAAAATCCGAGTGGAAAAAAGTAACGTTTTTACTGTGAAAACCACAAATATGTGTGATGAACTGTTTTTAAAACTTAAACTTCAAATAAAAATTGTAAACTTCAAAACATATGCAAATTTTTAACAAAGAACATAGTAATTTACCTCTATTTACATCAAAATGCAGGCAATGGCCCAGGTGTTCTTTGTAAAATTATTTACAAAACACTGTATAGTCTCACAAATGTCACTTTTTATTTATGCCACTACAAAAAACATGATGTAAATGATGCATGATGTAAAACATGATGTAAAAAACTTGTGTAGATCCTCCTCTATGTTAGTCCATGTGTAATTTTTCCATAATTCTTTGTTTTTTGCAGCATTTTTGTTAGTGTAACTGCAGATTGTTGTTGACAGTGTCTATGGCAAAAAAAAAAAAAAAAACTGAAAATGCCTCAACATGAACCCCTGGTGGTCTCTGAGGGTGAAACCTGCTAACTGCTGCAGCTCTGTCAGCTTCAGTCTCCCATGCAGAGCTCTGAGCGCATGTGTGGCTCTGCACCCTTAGCAGCGTTGCTAACTCCTCAGTAAGGAAAGCCTGCTTCATGTCAGAGTCTCTAAACTCCAGAAGAAGTCGATAAAAGTCACTTTCTTTCTAAAAAAAAAGTCGTTAGGGGGTCTGAAAAGTCATTGAATCTAACAACAAAGTCGCTAGGTTTGCAACTACGTGTCCCAGACTGCATCCCTGCTGAGAGTCCCTCCCTTCTCATATTGCAGGAAGAACGTAAGCGCCCGCCCCTTGTCAATCAGTCACCATATAATTTTGGATTGGTTGTTGTGGTGAAGTTTTCCACCAATAGGAGAGATGTTGTGGTGTGTTTTTTTTTTTCTTTGGCAAGCCTTTTCCGCCTGTAAGACCTGTCGCTAATGTCTGCATGCTATGTTTTCCTGTCTCATACAGCGCGATCGAGCGCCGAACGTGATCAAAATAAGCAGAAAACAAGTATCGCGGACATAATTTATCATAACTCTGGTTTTATTTGGCCTATCAACACAATTTAAAAACTGGTATATAGGTTGAGGTCCTCACTTTTGAGATAAGTTGAAACGGAGTCAACGAGGCTCCGTCTTGCAGCTACATCCGGTTAAATATGTCATGTGACTTGAACGCACACACACACACACACACACACACACACACACACACACAGACACACACACACACGCACACACACACACTCAGAGTCTGGTTTTTACCACCTGCAAAAACATGCTATTTACATATTTGACAAGAATGCAGAGGCTCCTTTTGCCCCTGAAAAAAATCAAATTTCAAACACAACTTGACTGGTCATTTCTCCAAAAGACAACCATGAAGCTCCATCCAAACCTGAAGCAGGCAGTTGGTGCATGTGTACAGTAACCTGAGGGGAGTGAGGTGACTGCTTCTGAGGAGAACATGAGCAGTGAAGATTCACCTTAGAGCTAGAACAGAGACGTGCACATGATTATACAGGGGCAGGGGCTCAAGTTTTTTCCAGTTGTTTATACAATATGGAAATTAATGTGAAATTAAAAAACAAAGTATTAATAGAAAGGTAATGACTGTCCTGAGTAGGTGACAGTGATATCCAATAGGCTAGGCACTCAAGAGGCTGGCTGTGGCAAGTGTAAGTGAAAGCAACACGCACTGGCAGGAAGAACAGCAAACGCCGATGAAGGAAAAGGGTCTTTGCAGTGATGGGCGTTACCAGAGAGGGCGATGGCCAGAGGACACAAATGGGACGGGGAGGCAGCGCGTTGGGGGGGGGACGCGACACAGCTCGGGCCCGCCAGTGCCCCAACGGGGTCCTAGTTATTTTTCCTCCCCTTTGAACTGGAAAATGGCCCACTTCCCACTGGCGAAAACTCATGAAATTTGGCAGGACGACCGGGCCTGGTGAAAAATTTGATATTCCGAAGTCGCCCAAACAAGAAAATGCAAAATGGCTCCATAGCGCCCCCTAAGGTAAAAATTCACACTATTCACTGTCACGCCTCTACGCTTTGTCAAAATGACACAAAAATTGACACACACATGTATCTCAATAAGATCTACAAAAAAGTCAGTGCGGGCGTATCTGTCAAATGTACGGTTAAAGGGTTATTTTGCATTTTTTGCCGATCCGCACACATTGGAATTTCGCTAACTCCTCCGAAGGCTTTCGTTCCACCGGCACCACATTTGCTCAGGCCAATCTACACCCCATGGCCATTAAAAGTTATTCAAATCATGACGCTGCACCCCACGGTTTAGGTTCTAGGGGGCGCCAAAGATAACACTAAAATCCACATATTTAAAAGTCTTATAACTTTTTATTTTTGTCCTCACTGGCCTCCAAGTTTTCTAGGATGATGCAATGTCCAGCCATCAACACATTTGTGAAGGAATTTTTACTCCCCAAAAGAGCGCCCCCCATGGCAGGAGAAAAAAGTCCATTTTTTCTTGTCCCCTGAGGTGAAAATACACATTGTTGAGTGTAACACCTGTACGCTTTGGCAAAATGACACAAAAATTGACACACACATGTATCTCAATAAGATCTACGAAAAAGTCAATGCGCGCGTATCTGTTAAATGTACGGTTAAAGGGTTATTCCGCATTTTTTGCCGATCCGCACACATTGGAATTTCGCTAACTCCTCAGAAGGCTTTCGTTCCACCGGCACCACATTTGCTCAGGCCAATCTACACCCCATGGCCATTAAAAGTTATTCAAATCATGACGCTGCACCCCACGGTTTAGGTTCTAGGGGGCGCCAAAGATAACCGTAAAATCCACATATTTAAAAGTCTTATAACTTTTTATTTTTGTCCCCACTGGCCTCCAAGTTTTCTAGGATGATGCAATGTCCAGCCATCAACACATTTGTGAAGGAATTTTTACTCGCCAAAAGAGCGCCCCCCCATGGCAGGAGAAAAAAGTCCATTTTTTCTTGTCCACTAAGGTGAAAATACACATTGTTGAGTGCTACGCCTGTATGTTTTGTCGTATTGACACAAAATTTTACATACACGTGTATTTCAATAAGATCTTCAAAAAAGTCAATGGCCACGTATCTGTAAAATGTACTGTTAAAGGGTTATTTCGCATTTTTTGCAGATTCGCACACATTGGAATTTCGCTAACTCCTCCGAAGGTTTTCGTTCCACCGGCACCACATTTGCTCAGGCCAATCTACACCCCTTGGCCATTAAAAGTTATTCAAATCATGACGCTGCACCCCACGGTTTAGGTTCTAGGGGGCGCCAAAGATAACCCTAAAATCCACATATTTAAAAGTCTTATAACTTTTTATTTTTGTCCTCACTGGCCTCCATGTTTTCTAGGATGATGCAATGTCCAGCCATCAACACATTTGTGAAGGAGTTTTTTCTCGTTAAAAGAGCGCCCCCCATGGCAGGAGAATAAAGTCAAGTTTTTCCTGTTCATCATTCAATGGCTCAAACGCACTGCTCTCTCGGCAAAAGCGAAAGGAGGAGCAACTTGCCATTTGGATATATCTTAGCTGTGTTTGTGCCCTCACTCATGGTCCAGACTTTTTTCAAATAGGACATAGAGTTTTTCTGCAGCGAGCGCTTTGGTAGAAACTGCGCCTCCCGTTCATTATAATGGTAATTGACCACAAACAAGTGCGCACACCATCTTTGGACCTTGAGTGTGACGCGATCGGGTGGGGGAGGCGGTCGCGCTGGGGGCGGCGTGACACGGCTCGGGCCCGCCAGTGCCCCAACGGGGCCCTAGTTTCTTCTTTTTCCTCCCCTTTGAACTGGAAAATGGCCCACTTCCCACTGGCGAAAACTCATGAAATTTGGCAGGACGACCGGGCCTGGTGAAAAATTCGATATTCTGAAGTCGCCCAAACAATAAAATGCAAAATGGCTCCATAGTGCCCCCTAAGGTGGAAATTCACACTATTGACTGTCACGCCTGTACGCTTTGTCATATTGACACAAAAATTGACACACATATGTATCTCAATAAGATCTACAAAAAAGTCAGTGCGGGCGTATCTGTCAAATGTACGCTTGAAGGGTTATTTCGCATTTTCTGCCGATCCGCACACATTGGAATTTCGCTAACTCCTCCGAAGGCTTTCGTTCCACCGGCACCACATTTGCTCAGGCCAATCTACACCCCATGGCCATTAAAAGTTATTCAAATCATGACGCTGCACCCCACGGTTTAGGTTCTAGGGGGCGCCAAAGATAACCCTAAAATCCACATATTTAAAAGTCTTATAACTTTTTATTTTTGCCCTCACTGGCCTCCAAGTTTTCTAGGATGATGCAATGTCCAGCCATCAACACATTTGTGAAGGAATTTTTACTCCCCAAAAGAGCGCCCCCCCATGGCAGGAGAAAAAAGTCCATTTTTTCTTGTCCCCTAAGGTGAAAATACACATTGTAGAGTGTCACGCCTGTACGCTTTGTCAAAATGACACAAAATTTGACATACATGTGTATTTCAATAAGATCTACGAAAAAGTCAATGCGCGCGTATCTGTCAAATGTACGGTTAAAGGGTTATTTTGCATTTTTTGCCGATCCGCACACATTGGAATTTCGCTAACTCCTCCGAAGGCTTTCGTTCCACCGGCACCACATTTGCTCAGGCTAATCTACACCCCATGGCCATTAAAAGTTATTCAAATCATGACGCTGCACCCCACGGTTTAGGTTCTAGGGGGCGCCAAAAATAACCCTAAAATCCACATATTTAAAAGTCTTATAACTTTTTATTTTTGCCCTCACTGGCCTCCAAGTTTTCTAGGATGATGCAATGTCCAGCCATCAACACATTTGTGAAGGAATTTTTACTCCCCAAAAGAGCGCCCCCTCATGGCAGGAGAAAGAAGTCCATTTTTTCTTGTCCCCTAAGGTGAAAATACACATTGTAGAGTGTCATGCCTGTACGCTTTGTCAAAATGACACAAAATTTGACATACACGTGTATTTCAATAAGATCTACGAAAAAGTCAATGCGCGCGTATCTGTCAAATGTACGGTTAAAGGGTTATTTCGCATTTTTTGCCGATCCGCACACATTGGAATTTCGCTAACTCCTCCGAAGGCTTTCGTTCCACCGGCACCACATTTGCTCAGGCTAATCTACACCCCATGGCCATTAAAAGTTATTCAAATCATGACGCTGCACCCCACGGTTTAGGTTCTAGGGGGCGCCAAAGATAACCCTAAAATCCACATATTTAAAAGTCTTATAACTTTTTATTTTTGCCCTCACTGGCCTCCAAGTTTTCTAGGATGATGCAATGTCCAGCCATCAACACATTTGTGAAGGAATTTTTACTCCCCAAAAGAGCGCCCCCCCCCCATGGCAGGAGAAAAAAGTCCATTTTTTCTTGTCCCCTAAGGTGAAAATACACATTGTTGACTGTCACGCCTGTACGCTTTGTCAAAATGACACAAAATTTGACATACACGTGTATTTCAATAAGATCTACAAAAAAGTCAATGCGCGCGTATCTGTCAAATGTACGGTTAAAGGGTTATTTCGCATTTTTTGCCGATCCACACACATTGGAATTTCGCTAAGTCCTCCGAAGGCTTTCGTTCCACCGGCACCACATTTGCTCAGGCCAATCTACACCCCATGGCCATTAAAAGTTATTCAAATTATGATGCTGCACCCCATGGTTTAGGTTCTAGGGGGCGCCAAATATAACCCTAAAATCCACATATTTAAAAGTCTTATAACTTTTTATTTTTGTCCTCACTGGCCTCCAAGTTCTCTAGGATGATGCAATGTCCAGCCATCAACACATTTGTGAAGGAATTTTTACTCCCCAAAAGAGCGCCCCCCCATGGCAGGAGAAAAAAGTCCATTTTTTCTTGTCCCCTAAGGTGAAAATACACATTGTAGAGTGTCACGCCTGTACGCTTTGTCATATTGACACAAAATTTGACAATCACGTGTGTCTCAATAACATCTACGAAAAAGTCAATACGCGCGTATCTGTAAAATGTACGGTTAAAGGGCTATTTTGCATTTTTTGCTGATTCGCACACATTGGAATGTGGCTAACTCCTCCTAAGGTTTTTGTCCCACTGACACCAAATTTGCTCAGGCCAATCTACACCCCATGGCCATTCAAAGTTGTAAAAATCATGACACTGCACCCCATATATATAAATATGACCCAAATATCCACATTCTTAAAAGAATCCACACCCCCCCCCCCATCCCCCATCCCCCATCCCCCATGGCAGGAGAAACAGTCAAGTTTTTCCTGCCCATCACTCAATGGCTCAATCGCATCGCTCTCCCGGCAACACCGTAACGAGGAGCAACTTGCCGTTTGGATATATCCTAGCTGTGTTTGTGCCCTCACTCATGGTCCAGACTTTTTTCAAATAGGACATGTAGTTTGTCTGCAGCGAGTGTTTTGGTAGAAACTGCGCCTCCCATTCATTATAATGGGAAATGACCACGGACAAGTGCGCACACCATCTTTGGACCTTGAGTGTGACGTGATCGGGAGGGGGAGGTGGTCGCGCTGGGGGCGGCGCGACGCGGCTCGGGCCCGACAGTGCCCCACCGGGGCCCTAGTTATTTTTTTATTTTTTATGTGTAAACTACTGTCTATCTGTAATTCCCCTCAGGTTAAACTACGTATTTATCTATCCTTGTTTTGGATGAGATAACAGTGTCCCAAAGTAATGGAAATATGCAGCTGTTTCTGTTGTTTCTACATCGTCTTACAGCTGCAGCAGCAGCGACCACAGTGTCTGCAGAAGTGCAGCTGTAGGATAAGCTCATGCACATTGTGGGGTTTAATTCATGCAAACAAGCAAACTCCGGAGATGACAAATTCAAATGTTGTAGTCTGACTTTGGAGTTTTATGATCAAAGATCACTTATAGCAGTTTTTGATGCAGAAATTAAACGGCAGGATCCTTTGAGTGCAATCACTGAGACATAAAACTGTCATGTGCAAACTGCTTAGTTCACAAAACCCCCCAAAAATCCAACCCATTGTTGCTCTAAGCCCATAAGACTCCAGCAGACCGTTACACATGTTAAAGTCTTAAACACACACACACACACACACACACTGCAGCCTCAGCAGATGGGGTTAAACACATCTTAACACAAAAGGAGTGTTTTGGGGTCAGCTGTCCCTTGGCGTGGCGGTGGACAGACGCTTCTCTGAGCAAACATCCTTTAAAGACATGGTGTAATGGACGCTTCAGGCACACTTTAGGGCTTAGAGCGGCCTCTTTAACTGCTTAGACTAAGCTCCTTTGTGGCTCTGGAAATGAGCAGTATAGGGTGAAAAAAGGGGGGAAATTACGCCATCCTCTTTAGATGATAGCCAGACAATGGCCACGCGCTGAACAGATTAGACGGTCAGAAGGTTTTTGACGCACAGCAAACAAAGCCAGGATTGGAGGATTCCACTTTCTACCCCCCCTCCACGCTCCCCCACTCCCTCTTTGTTGGTACAATTATCCACTTTGCACTACTTTGTCTTTCTCTAAATGTTGGGATCTGCTTTAAGGGATGAACCCATGTTTGGGGCTTTAAAGTGAGATTCAGAGCTCAGCTTAAATCATTGAGGGGATTGTGGCTGTAAATGTCACTGCCTCGCCTGGTGGGAATTCTGCTATTTTCTCTTTTTTCAAATGACTCAACAGACAAGTGCTGCTTTTGTTTTACCCTCCAGTGTGCTGACGAGGCTTGAACGCAAACTGTGGTTGAAAGTCAAGACAGAAGTGATGAGCCATCATGTTTTAAGATGCTTGTTGTCTGCTGAAAGAGATGCAGCATGTCTTTATCGGCACTTCGACTCGGAGCAGATTAATTAGAGGAATTAATTTGAAGCAACTTTCTTCTCTTCTTTCTTCACTCTAAGTGCTTTGCTAGTTTTCAGAAACTTTCTCTTGTGAATACCAAACTTTCTCATTCAATTTAAGAGCAGGTCGGCCTTCAAAGTCATGACATTTAAGGATACCTGCTTCCATTTTCACAGTTTTTAAGAGCTGTTGATGCAGTGTTATTATAAGCAGAATGAACTAAAAGGGAGGAAATGCTGAGTTTTGTCCTTGTGACCACAGACTAGTTATCTAGGAATCGAATACACAACACTTCAACTTGGCTGCACCTGGCGCAGCAGGTTTAATGCGTTTGGTGCCCCATGTAAGGTTAGGATTCAGCACTAACACCTGTTTAATGAGAGATCATTTCGGTCCTAGTTCTCCAGTGTAAGCCTAATTTTTTAGCCGTTTCCACACTTGATCAAAACTCCTGAAAACTTCCCAAACCTTCAGGGTGAATACAAACAGGCCAAAATTTCAGCATGATGGTATCTAGAGTATATTCAGTTAGTATAAAATACTTTTAGTAAATCAAACTCAGTCGGGTGGGCCAGAGCACTGATATTTCTAATTTATAACACAACTAAAGAGGGTGTGCATGATTGACATGTAGCAGGATGAATTAAAAACATCCAAAGTTGCGGAGGGAAAGTCTTTATCGAAACAAGAGCTCTTCAGATGATTGAACATCCATCCTTTTGAACAGAGCATTGACATTAAACTCTTGTTATAATGAAGATATCGTGTTAACATGAAACTGTGGCTTTCACATGTCCCACCTCCAAAGACTCAACTTCTGCTGCTGCTGTGATTTTACACCATTAGTTTGCATTAATTACCATGTTCAGGGTAAGGCACCCAAAGGGACCACCTGATCTTTTAGACCTTTGGTCAGCTCTGTGTGTAAGAGTTGTGGCCTTCTAGCTTTAATCTAATAATTCTCAAACTTGTTCAGCTTTTACCCTTTCTTTAATATGGCCTCATCTGTCTCCACATTCTCCTGAGCATTAATTGAGTTATTTGCTGGTCCCTGATTGTAGACACACAGATTCGCTGATCTATCTTCTGTCTTTCCCTAATGAGGATTCAATAGCAGAGCAAATGGTTATTTAATATGAGATAGCTCTGGATTAGATAGAAATGGTCACAGTGTTGGTAATGGAGTTCACATTGCTGCTTATGTGTTTACTGGACAGACAGTCAATCTGTGAAACTGCAAAACAGGCTTGCATGGTGAAATGTAGGTGATGGGGATGGCGACTCCTTTCTCTAAAGTGAAGTGATAATGCCTGCTTCATCCCACTATCTGCAAAAAGCGTATCTATCATGAACAAGGACACTAACTGGGATAGCAGTACATCCATTTGTTCTTTTCACAACTTCCACTGCAATGAAAAGGATCCCATAGTCCAATCAAAAGGTTCAATCCAAATATAGATCAGTCAAGTTCCTTTTCACATGAATTTCAAAAGAACTGCTTATGCTTTAGCTGAAGTTGTTGAAGACCTTATAATAAAGGAGCAGGTTTAGATCATTCCTCTTTCTCTATAGCTTTGATAGGAATCTCTCTCCTTTTAGAGATCCAGTCCAGTTGGCCCGGCTCGTTCTGGCTTCTTCAGCTCCCAAATGTGTCTTCGGAGTATTAGAGGAGCAACCTCTTGGAGCCAAAAGTGATTCATGATCAACACGTATGCTTGTTCTCACCTCAGTGCGGATGATATCTCTTTCCACAGCACAGTTTTTCACTATGTTTAATATCTACAGTCTCTGCAGGACATACTTTGACTGGTTAGAAAGCAGAATGGGAATAAAGGCACCAAAATGGACGAACTGAAAATTCCTCATAGAAGCTTTAGATATAGAAATAATGCTAATAATTGATAATTAGCAGGTGTGTGCTCAGCTCCGGCATGAGATGTTTGTTCTCAGTTTGGTTCTCCTCTAGATTTCTACATGTTAAGCATAATTCTTGTTTTTCCATTCTTGTCCAGTGTTTGCTCTTTGTGGATCCATCCTGGATTCCACTGAGTAATCCTCAAACTAGGACAGTTTTGTCACTGACAACATTTCTGTTGCCCGGCTTGAATCGCTGATTGGCACCTAAGATAAAGGAGTTTACCTCTTCCTTCACAAATCGGTCTTCTTCATCAAAAATCACCAGACCCTTCTTCTCTAGTGCTCCTCTTCAAATATGGGCTTTCACAAGGCTCTATCCTTGGTCCTCTGCTATTCTGCATCCGTCTGTTCCAACAGGTCAGATAACAATAAAGTGTGATATTTCTGACCACTTTGGAGCTTCTTGTTTTCTTCTCCAGTTGAAACTGAAGGATGGGCTGGTCAAGGTTTTTTCTGCAGGATCGTTGCTGACTTCTTTAAATTTGCAGAATAATCAGAGACACGTCGAGAGCTGACAACAGCTCACTTCAGACTGTTTTCTAAAATGCTTTCCCTATTCGGTCACTTCTTTTTTTTTTCCAGTTTAACACCACACACAGCTCCCGAATCCATCCTGGAAAACACTTGGTCAACTGAGCATACCCTTTCAAAAACAGACATGCTGACTGATCTGAAAAGAAGACCTTGATTTGGTTGACTCAGATCTGCTGTGACGTGGCTCCAGAGTCCACAGACAGCATGCTGAATCACTATCACTGACTAACCTTGAGTCTTCAGTATTTCTGAGCTTGGTGAAGTCTACTTTGGAGCTTCTTGTCTTGACTTACTGTCCTTGTTAAGCGTTGAGAGCTAAGCAGCACTCCTGTGGGACCTGCTGATAGTTAATGTTGTGGTTCTATCAGAGAGCACCGGGTTGCCCTGTGACTAAAAGTGGACATATTTCTCCTTAAATGCTGCCCGGCTCAGCAGAATATAATTTCCACAAAAAAACTCAAAACAAAATGAAGCCGTTGAAATGAAGACAGAGTCCCAGAGGACTTGTTCCCATAAACATCCCAGGAAAAAGAAGACTGCCATGTTTAATTATCATCTGAGAGGAGCAGGAAGCCGAGTTTAGGCTTTATTGCTGTGAGGTGCTATATAACAAGCACAAAAGGGCATTACCAGTGTAATGTAGCTTTCTGTTTTAGATACTGTGAAGAAGAAGAAAAAGAAGAAAAAGAAGAAAGTGCCGGATACAGAGGCGTTCATTGAATGACTGTGACTGCATCTCTGTTGGTGTTTTGGTGGCTCTGAGTTTGACTGTCCCTATTTAAATTCCAACAAATATGCAGCTGGCATTTTCAGCAAAACAATAATCCAGTTTCATATCATAGCAACAGAATCCGGATCGGTCTGAGGAGAATAACATGAGCCACAGTTCAACAATGGCAGAGATGCTTTAAAGTGGATAAAGGACACACGCAGGGCATCAGGACAGGAGCTTATATAAAGTCATTTAAACACAGGAAGGAATTATTGTATTAAAGATAGAAAGGAATTATGCCATTAGTGACCTGAGTGACCTTTCCATGGGTTTAATGTAAGACAGCGACATGACGCTGAGGGGCTTACTGCTGCCTCATGAAAGCATGTATGTGGGCTTTAACCATTGTAGTCCAGGATAGACCTGTGACTTGGACAGTTAGAAGCAAAAGTTCAAATTATGTTTGTTCATTAATGAATAATGGAGAACTCTACATGCTGACACTGCAAATTATGTATCAGTGATGAGGGCCATCTCCACCATTACCACTAAGGGGGGGGGGGGGGGGGTAACTGTAATTGCAGTGAAACTTTGTCTTTTTTAAACAGGTTTTCTTTTTTCATCGAGACTTTATTTACGACTTGGCTCCACATGTACAATGCCTGGTGAACACACTCTGGAGCATGTGCAGATCGCTTAGGCCAGACCTAAAACCTCCAGTCCTAGGGTTATGATGAAGATGAGTTCAGAGTCAACAGCTCGATAACTTGCCGTACATTTGTTTTGTCACTTTTGGATCCAGCAGAATTAAAACCATCATGTGGGTCTGAAACTGTCTGGACTCCTCGAGTCGTCTGCAGTGAGTGGATACACAGCTTTGTCCTCGTTCCAGCACATTCTCAGTCTCATTCTTGGATCTCCAGGTTCAGACGGACAACATTTCAGTCTCTTCTTGAGTTTTCTTGTTCTGTCATTTCAGTCTGTGTGTCATAAATCAAGGATAAGTATCCCTGTAGATCAGACCCAGAGGATCATGGGGTTTGATTGAAAAAAAAGGGCCACAGGAAAACAAACTAGGCGCCTATGGTGTCGCTCTGTTACTTTATGTGAACAGGTCTTATTTCTTAGAGTTAAATCAATGTACATATGTTCATGGCAACTTAGTCACCTGCCAGATATCAAAGTATTTCTGCTGCACTTTTGTTTTCACTGCTCAACAAAAGCCTCGAATGTGACCTTCCTGCATTCGCCAGTTACCAACTGAATCTACACTCAGCACCAAAACACAGGATCTGAAATGTCTGAGTGAGAAAGGAGAGGAGACACATAAAATAGAGCAGGGTCAGGGTAAGACTCAGTTAAGTAAGACAATTATAGGAGTGTTGAGATAAAAACAGAGGACTGAAAAGCTTTAAAGAGAAGTAAGTGTGAAGAAATAACACAAAGATTAAAAAGAGTCTGTTGATTTCTGCATAAGGATGACCTAACACTCAACATTAACCTGCCTCACCAAGCACAGTGCTTGAGGAAATCTTTCAGTTCAGCAGAAGAAAATCCTTTTCAGAATGTCTTCATTTGCACAAAGGATGGCACAAACTCAGAAAGAAGGGGGGTTACTAAAAAGAACCATCAGTTCTTCTGCTCAGGAATCTCCACCTGGGTGCTGCAGAAAATCTACTCCACCTTTTTTCAAAACAAATTTATCAGAAAAAAAGTTCAAATTAAACCTTTCACAGAGTCAAACTAGAAAATCAAACAAACAAACAAACAAACAAACAAAAAAAAAAAACAGAAAACTAATTCCAATAAATCATAATCCCTGAAAAATTCAGCCATATTCGTACTTGTGTGAAGTGGCGGAGGCACGGCATAAGTCAGGTGTGCTGCACCGATAGGGCGTGTCCAAGCACACTTTTTATATGATTTTTGTTAGTGGTGTAGCAAGTACACCCCCTCCCTATCTTAGCTCCTCCTAGTGGTGCACATAGGAAAGATGGAGGGGAGAAGGCATAGAGTGGGTTTAACACAGCTGAGTCCGATTTCCACCAATCACTCAGCTCCTATCCTCACTTTAAAATCCACCACCAGCAAGGTGTATAACAAAATTTGTGAAGTAGATGCATCATTGCCTGGCTCTTTCTTCCACTAATGTTAGCATGCATGAACCGAACTTGGCTCACACAACACAATATTATAATAATGACCTGTAGGCCTGACTCTGGATTTAATATTAAAGTTTATACAACTCTATGTAATGCAGATCTATGTCTCTGCGTGCTTTAATAACAACTCAACTCAACTCAACTTTATTTGTTAAGCACTTTTAAACAACCACAGCTGAACAAAGTGCTGTACATAACTAGACAAAACAACAACATAAAAAACAATCAAAAAACAATTAAAACAATGGATAAAATAAAAGCTGAATTAAAAAGTAAAGTATAGTTTCAATGTTTTTAAAAACTAATTTAAAAACATAGAAACAAATAACTAAAAACAAACCATAAAACACTAAAACAGGAGCCGAGTCTCATGCAGGGTTAAAAGTCAATGAATTAAAATGGGTTTTAAGACGAGTTTTAAAAATGGACAGTGTGGGGGCTTGTCTGATTTGGAGGGGTAGCTCGTTCCATAATTTTGGGGCTGCAACAGAAAAAGATCTATCCCCTCTGAGCTTCAGTTTGGACCTCGGTACCTCCAGGATCAGCTGATCAGCTGACATGAGGCACCGAGCAGGGGTGTAGGGGTGGAGAAGCTCAGAGAGGTAAGATGGAGCCAGACCATTTAAGATTTAAAAACAAATAAAAGAATCTTAAAATGAACTCTAAAACACAAAGAGAAGCGTGCAGTAGTGAGACAAGTTTAAAAACACATCTCCTGACACAAATCCTTCATTATTGTAAAAATATTTTTATTATAATGTTCATGAAACAAAGACTCCGGCGCCCTCCAGCGTCTCCTTGTCTCCATGCCACTGTAAAATTGTGCTTTTCTGTCCTCTTCACTCATGTCAAACAGGGAATCATGAATCATAAATGTGATCATCATCAGACATAGGTGATGGCTGATGATGTTGTCCTTTCCTTAATTTAACTGATTGTGTTGTTTAGTCCACATCACATCCATATCAACATCACCTCTGTCTGTCTGTCTACCTGATGTGCAGGTATTTGTGTTGATGTCAGCTCTGTGAAGCTGTAGGAAGCCGAGTACTCAGCAGAGTCTGATATTTTCTGTTAGTGCCGCTGTGCTGGTGGCTCTTCACAGCAGCCCTGATTGGTTTTTGA